ACTTATATGAAATGTGAAAATCGGTCCCCAAAAGTCAAAAAAGTAAACCTAGTTTTCCTGAAGCTGAAGCCCGAGGATCAATAAATTATTTCCCATTTTTTTTTCTTTTTTTTACATCAATGCATGTCCAACCTTAGAAAGATAACAAAGTGGGTAATTCGTCCATCCCTATAATTTCCAACCCGCCCCCTAAAAAAGTTAACATGCCATGTCTTATTTAAGATGGATTGGCGGGTCAATACATCTTATTTTGTATGTCAACTCATTTATATATTAAATTTGACAACAAAAATATAGAAAACTTATTTTGAATCAATGACTAAAGTTTTAGGAAATTTATAGCTGGTTCCTTAATCATGTTAACAGCGGTTCGATTCCTGGTCGTGTATATGAAAAAGGCTTTATTGAGAGAGATTTATCTACTTAATGTGATCTCTCATCTCGAAAGGATTAGTCTTCGACTGACGGCTGGAGAATACCTTAAAAAACAAAAAGAAAAGATTTAGGATTTAATATTTCTCATTTCGTAGAAGATAAAATTATTTTTTAAACATACATAAAAATATGTGGGCCATATGAGGAGAAAAAAGAGAAAAAAAATATAGACCACGTACACTTTTATACATTTGTAAGAGATCATTTTATTTCCTACAACATTAAAAATTTGAAACCCAAAGTTTTATTATAAAAATTTAAGAGGGCCACACCCCCTACAGCAGGTATAACTCGTTTAGTCTCGCATTTATATGGGAGATAAGAATGAGTTCGTGGGTTAAGAGTTTATGGTAGATTTGATGGGTCAGTAGGATAGACTCCGCCCATTTTATCAAATATAGTAAAAGTATAGGGAAAAATATTATTTATGTGATAGGAGATAAAATTATCTCGTGTAAGTTCAAAACAACGTTGTTTTGAGATTTATAATTAAAAAATAAAGGGTGTTTTAAAATTTTCATATTCCATTTTGTATAAGTAGTTTTACTAAAATACCTTCTATTTTTAATCTTTAATTTTAAAATAACATTGTTTTAGAATTACAAGAGATAAAAAATATTTCTTATAAAATGAAAAACGTTAATCCCAAAAATATACTTTAGTTAACATATAAGAGTATACTGTATAAGTCAATGTTGTTGAACAAAATCGGCCACTCCAAGTGGTTGAACGGGGAAGAGGACCCCAAATAGTCCGATTTAATTAAGGGATCAAATTTGTGAAACCGATTTAGGCCCATTTTTTTCTAACACAATTCAATCCTTGGAATATGATATATCATATTATTATATATATATATATATATATATATATATATATATATATATATATATATATATATATATATATATATATATATATATTTGGTGAGTGTGAAATTTTTTACTGTACATTTTTTTTTTCTGTCACACTCGTATAAAATGAGTGAGTCTTATTGTAAAAAATAGAGATAGAAATATTAATGGAACTCACTCATTTTTATGTTAGCGTGACATCTATTTTTTTTTTTCTGGAGGAAACCCTTTTTACATATTGATCAGACCAGATTATTACAAAAAGGCCGATCATGTGATCTTTCTCTACACAGCCTGGAACCGCCTTGGGTCAGAGCATCTTGCAGTTGGGCCGCTTTATCCCATGGGTCTTCAATGGAACGCGATGGGAGGTGTACCTGCAAGACACTCCGACGCTCAAGTCAGTTATGGTTCAAGCAGGTTTAATTATGTAGGAGAAGATGATATACCTTAGTGTTATACATGTATTTATAGTGGAGAGATGAGCAGCTTGGGAAGATGTTACTTAGTGATCAGGTTTGCTTTGTCTTGGAGGCAAAGTAATAGAGCTGTCATGTTTAATGTTGAGTAACTTTGATGAGATAAGGCCATTAATATTATGCAGCTTGATGGCTGTATGGAGCTTGCTGTCTGTCATGGTGCTTTTAATATTATGGAGCTTGTAGCCTTCTTGGACTAAGGCTTTGCTTCATTGTGAAAGATTTAATTATGGGCCTTGTATTTGTATAATATTTATCCAGATCACATATTATATTTTCTGTTACATTGTTTGTTACAATATAAAGTGGTCGATTTTACCAACAAAGCCCAACACAGTTGGTAGATAACTGAGTTCCTTAAGCATGTTGGCAGGGATTCGATTCCTGGTCATGCATATGGAAAAGGCTTTGTTGAAAAAAGTTTACCCATTTAATGTGATCTCCCGCCCCAAAAGCATTAATCTTTGGCTCCTCGAGGAGGATACCTTGAAAAACAAAAAAATAAATAAAAAATGGTCGATTTTCTTACCAAGTTCCCATGCTTAAAGAGTTACCCAATTCTTGGCAGGATTATGGTGGCACTTAGAATCAATTAATAAATTATTTGCAATGACACTGTGACGTTTAAATTAGCTACATACATTTTACGAAAAAAAAAAAAAATTAGCTACATACAATAACAGCACATGAACTAGGGATTAGATTATTACATTGACTGTATTAAAAAGAAAAAGAAAAGATTAGTACATTGACGATTCCTTCTCCTTATGTTGGTACAAATATGGATTGGTTTGTGCGTAGGTTAATGACAGGATTATTTTAAAAACAATAATAAGTACAAGAAGGAAAGAGAAATCAGGCCATCCTTCCTTATACAGTGAGCACAAGAAATGATCGAACTCAGTTTCAACAATTTCTGCTGCAGTCTGCTGCTGCTTTTCTCTTTTCCTACCGGGTCATAGAAATTTTTTGAAAACATCAATAACATTTTTAATTCCAATATCCTCTCAAATAAAACATTTTTTTATGAAGCCTGGACTTCGGCAAAGTTTAGTCATCATATTCCGTTTTCCAATTGTAGGCTGTGCTCATGCATATAATAAACAAGACTAACCCAGTTACAATTATTGAAACTTCTTTTGTGGTGCAGTGGTAATGGTACCACAAGCAAAAAGGCGTGGAAAATTCAAATACGGCATGCTAATTTGTTCATATATATAATCAGTTACTGTGGAATACTTAATCAAAAGATATGTAACATGCTCACGAAACCAAGGAAGTGGATTGGTTTTTTGAGTTTAATATCTGAAAATTACAAAACTTAGATCTCAACGTAAATCAAATACATATAATATAAATATAGCAAAATTAAAGCGGATAAGGAAAAAGAAATATGTAAAGTCAGTTTATTTTGGTTCAGCTATAAAACATGACTTAAGTCATATTTTCAGGCAATTTACTTCAGTTGGTTCAAGCAAATACTTAACTGGATGAATCAATATCTCATCCAGATTTAATAACACTGCTTAGAAACATAATATTCATATTCAAAACTTTAAAACCCAAAATTTTAGTTTAAAAATTATTAAAAAAAGCTCTCATCCAACCATTTAAATTTTAGTATCAAAACTTCATCAATGACCATGAATTCAATTTTTACCGCTCTCAATTTTTAGTAAAATTAAGTAAAAAATAAATAAATCAAAAATTTAACCTCCACAATATTCATATTTCATATTCAAAGAACTCTTATATTACATAATAATATAAATTATTAAAAAACTGTTATATAATAATTTAAATTTTTAAGTTGAATTAATTTTTTATATAAATAATCAACGAAATTCCGTGGAATCCTTTATCGTTCACCAGCAGCAGTCAAGCATCACAGTTCAGCAGTTCACCACTTCTTAGTAAGCTCATGGGTATGGCCATAGTTGGTGGGTCCAGAATTATATCATAACCATCAATCACGAAAGGCAACATGGCCCACACATATCATCTTTCTGTATAGCACTACAGGCTAGTTTATATACAATTCTAAATAAAGGAGGAGAACAAAAAAAAAAGTAGAAACAAAATCAATGGCTTATATTTTCTGCTATAACTGTAAAGAACTTTGGGATACACCATTTCAAAAGCTAATTTAAATGGTGAGAGTGTCCAAGATCTTATAAAGGCCACGTTAGTTGCCCACACAATCAATGTGAAACTATATATCTCAACACGCCATATCACACGAGAGCCCTTGAAGCGTGGATTATACACATGCCCAATTTTTGATTTACCTTTTTTGTGCTTTTTATTTTTAATTTTACTTTAAAATAGGGGGCCGTGAAGATCGAACTCGTGAACTTATAGTCACTCAAGCTCTGATACCATGTAAAGAACTTTGAGATACACCACCCAAAAGTTAGCTCAAAAGGTGAGAGTGCTAGCTCAAGAGGTGGGAGTGCCCAAGACCTTATAAACTCCACATTAGTTGCACATACAACTAATTTGGGACTATATATCTCAACACACCCCTCACACGAGAGCCCATTGGGCTTGAAGAGTGGACAATGCAACAGGCTCAGCCTACCTGTGCTAAGAAATGCCACAAGAGAAAGTGGGGGGCGACGGGGCTCTGATACCATGTAAAGAATCTTGGAATACACCACCCCAAGATTCTTTACATGGTATCAGAGCCTCGCCGCCCTTGTGGCATTTCTTAGCACAGGTAGGCTGGGCTGTTGCATTATCCACGCTTTAAGCCCAAAACCTTATAAATGCCACATTAATTGCTCACACAATCAACGTAAAACTATATATCTCAACAATGAATTTGATTATTCTCAAAGTAAAAATTTTTGTTTCATCAATTTTTTATTATAAAGTATAAAGTACAAACCATTAATTATGAATTATTTTAAATACAAAAATAATTAATTCAAACCAACCACACTCTGTACAATTAATAAAAAGTATTTACTATTTATCGTGGGAAAGCGGAATCATCTTCTCTTATTCTTTTCCCGCGCTTTATAAATTGGGATCACTAGTAGCTCCATACTAGGCTTAAAGTTCAGATTAAAATAGTCAAAGATTTGTGCCTGTTTTCCAACCAAAATCTTTTTGGTGCAAACATTTTCTCTCACAAGTCCAAGCTGTTTCCTTTTGTTGGTTTTACTGTGACACAATCCCCTCAAATTCTTATGTTTCAAACAAACCTTGTGTCATCATGACTCATGAGATGGAAACCATTAAACCCAAATCAGCAATCAACAGTAAGAGCAATAAATTGGCCAAGACATTCCAGAAAGTGATTAGCTTCCGAGCTGCAACCAAAATTGCTTTGAACAATGGCATGTGCATTCTCACCTCACAATCCAGAGTCAAGCAACATCTTTTAACTGATAGGCTCAAAACCCACAAAGGTAATCGTAAGCATGAAGACATTAAAGCTCGAAATAGAGCAGTTATGGAGGCTCTTATTGCAAAGCTATTTGCTGGTGTTAGCACTATCAAAGCAGCTTATGCTGAACTCCAAATGGCTCAGCACCCTTACAACAACGAGGCCATTCAAAAAGCTGATCAAGCTGTGGTAGATGAACTGAGAGCTATCTCAGAGTTGAAGCTTAGCTTCTTGCAGAAAGAGCTTAAACTTTCACCCCAAGTCACTCTAATGCTTGCAGAGATTCAAGAACAGCAAAGCCTAATGAAGACTTATGAAATCATCATCAAAAAGCTTGAAGCACAGGTTCATGTTAAGGAAGCTGAACATTCATCCCTCAAGAAACATATTGATGAGTGCATTCCCTACAACAAATCACTTGAAAAGAAGCTAAACTCAAGTGGGTCTTTGTCCATGCTTGAAAATCTTCAGCTTTCTGTGCTAAGCCCAAGCCATTTCGTCCAGTTCCTTCACCGCACGTTAAGATCAATCAGGAGTTTCGTCAAGTTGATGATCTGTGAAATGGAGTCTGCTCATTGGGATCATGAAGCTGCCGTTAGATTCATCCACCCAGATGCAGTTTTTGCCACACCAAACCATCAATACTTAGCATTTGAATCCTTTGTTTGCATAACAATGTTTGAAGGCTTCAACTATCCAAACTTCACTGTGCCTAGTCAGTCACTTGAGAAACCCCACCACCACCACAGCCAACAACTCTACTTTGACAAGTTCAAAAAGCTCAAATCTTTGAACCTAAAACACTACTTAGCACAAGGTCCAAACTCATCCTTAGCCAGGTTCTTAAAATCCAAGTACCTTCAAGTGATTCATGCCAAAATGGAGTGCTCCTTGTTTGGCAACTTGAACCAGAGGAAGCTACTCAACAATGGGGGTGTCCCAGATTCTGAGTTCTTCATGGCTTTTGCAGAGATGGCCAAGCGTGTGTGGGCTTTGCATTGTTTGGCATTTTCATTTGAAGAAGAGGTCACCATTTTTCAGGTAAAGAAGAACACTAGGTTCTCTGAGGTGTACATGGAATGTGCAGCTGAACAACAACTGCTTTCAACCTCAGGGGAAGCCGCTGATTTCAACTCCGGTGAGCTCAGGGTGGGTTTTACGGTGGTTCCGGGTTTCAAGATCGGAAAAACCGTGATACAGAGTCAGGTATACATGTCTCCGGTGGGTTCTCCGGCGAGTTGCTGAGTTAGGCTTTTTTTAGTCTTGGATTGTATATTTGGTCTCAAAGTAGGGATCCTCACGCGCTTTGTTACACGCTCTGCCAAGGACAGTACATAATTTCATTTGGATAGAATTTTTCCTCAAAGGGTCACTATTTTGGAGCTTATTTACAATCAGCGATGAGCTATATCAACTGTAAAATATCTTGTATAATAGTAGATTTTCTTCCTTGAGTATGTAATATTTTGATATTATGATATATGTCAAAGACCACAGTAATGCTACACACTCAAAGCAAAATCTATTCCAAGGTTATCTTTAGTTGAAATGAAAATAAGGGTTCACAAAATGTGTCGTGTCAAGTTTCATCCGAGAGTTAAACTGTTCAATCCAAATATTATATGTTTTTTTTTTTTGCGGACCCGCGGTATAAGAATAAATCTTTGGTGTTGTTGCACCGAAGATTTACTGTTGCACTGAAGATTTACTGCATCTCATCGATGAAAATATTAATGTCAGTCAAATTTATTTATTTTTTGTCAATATTTTTTTTTATCTGATGTGTAATACTCTTATTGATAAGATGTACTGAATCTAGGTATAACAGAAAGCACGTAATATTCATTCCGCGGTATAAATGGATAAATCTATTATTGGTGAATTCACGTGGCTATTGGTTCTGGTGTTTGGTAGGGTCTCTGTTCTGTTGTAGATTGGGCGGGAGAGCTACAGTAACTGGTAGTGTGAGCAGAGAAAGATAGGGCCATGGCTATTTTGGCATATTTAAAATTGTGTGGAGGGTAGGAATGTGATCATGTAGAGGCTAGCAGAGAAGCCTTGAGTATTAGTTTAGTTTGATTTTGCGTTACAATTTTGTCATATTACTTTCTGTGAGTACAGTGAACAAAATCCGCAATAAACTTGTTTAGATTTGATAATGGAAAAATACTTTGTTATGATGTTGGAAAAAATATTCTCATGCCATACCTAAATCGGTTTATGCGCTTTAATTTTATTTTATTTTTTAATTTCTTAATGGTGGGATGCACTCCAAATATATATCTGTATGAAAATTTCAACTGAGAAAAACAAAACCCTTTGATAATATATACATATTGGAAGTGCTATGGCGCCTTGCTAGTTTACCTAATTCGTTTGTATATCTGGTTAAACTTCATTCGAAAGCCACATTAAGCAATATAAAATATAATAATATATGCAGGATGGAGTTGTTTGTTTTCTAGGCAAAGACCAGTAGCTGTTCCTAACTTTTTTTCCAAGCTGTCACCCATGTTGGATATGTCATATTCTTTCTGGGAGCTTGGTGATGGGTATAACTTGGAGGTTCTGACTTCTGAGCCTTCTGACTATAGTTCACGGGGCTGCTAGGCCACTTTGTTAGGACTAGTATAACGTTTAGCTAATGTTTGTTGGTCGTTTGCATGACCACTTTCTATCAAGGAAAAGCATATTCAATACTCTTTTTTTTTCAACCGTTATCTTGAGATATATAAAATTATCAATGTATCCTCTCCCAATAATTTAAGTGTTTGGGTTGAATTGGTTCTTTACATGTTATCAAAGTCTCGGTGTATCGGATTCAATCCTCACCGCCCCCCCACTTTCTTTCAAGTGAAATTTTTTTCTTCGCATAGGTAGGTGAACCTGTGCATTGTCCACCCTTCAAGTCCAGTGGACTCTCGTGTGAGGGGACGTGTTGAGATATGTAAAACCATTAATGTATCCTCCCCCAATAGCTTAAGCATTTGGGTTGAATTGGTTCTTTACACGTTAATTTTATAAATTTTTTATGCACTAAATTCAAAATTCGAGACGGATTCAGATTAAGACTTTAAACTCTTTTTAAAAATAATATTGAGAGGATCGAATATATATTTTAATTTTCACCTACTCACCTCCATAATCAATACTTTTTTGCTGTAATTGTGGGGACATTGACCATAATGATACGCTTATGACAAAAAAATATCAATATATCACCTTTCAATTTAATTTTGTCAAAATGCCACATCACATTTTTGCTACGCCGCCCCACGAAAATGGATGGATACGTGGCAACGTTTGTATAGGTAGCCATTCTCGCTGAACAGTCCAACGAGAATGGCAAGGTGCTGACACGTGGCAAAAGTACAGGCATTCTCGCTGGGCAGCCCTACGAATTTAGCCACCTGAACAACTTTTGCAGAGAATGCCTGTACTTTTGCCATGTGTCAACACCCTGCCATTCTAGCAGGGCTGCTCAGCGAGAATGATTGCTCACACAGACGCTGCCACGTGTTCAGTCTATTCTCGCTGGGTGGCGTAACGAGTATGTGACGTGATATTTTGACAAAATTTAATTGAAACATGGCATACAAGTAAATATTATTCATAAGAATGACATATTGGTTAATGTCCTGTAATTGTTAAAGAAATATTCTTTTTTGGGATTAGTGTTTTTTTTATGTTATAAGAGATAAAATTATTTTCTATACTTTCATAAAAGTGTGTGGGGCTCAACTTACCTTTTTCTCTCTTTTCTGTTCACGTCCCACATGGGTCTACATACTTATATATATTTATAATAAATAAAATTATTTCCTAAACATTAAACCATTCTTTTTTATTTATTTATTTTTTACATTGCAGCAGAAGTTAACTTGGCTCGCGAAACAGAAAAATGGAAGTAGGATGGGAAAGTTGTAAGAATTTATGAAAGATCTAAAATGTAAAATAAACGTTTAAATGGGCTAGTTAAATATTTAGACTCATTTGATTAAAGGGTTTAAGTTTTCTTATGTTGTAGGATTGTAGGAGATAAAAAAAGTAGAGAGAAATTAAATGTGGGTCCTATATTTTATATTTAAAAAAAAAAGAAAAATTAATTGGCACGGAAAACGAATTAGTGTAGGAAAATGATGTACTCTTATGTAGCATAAGAGTATTATTTCCCTTGATTAAAAGTCAAATGTTGCTCTATTTTAAGAAATTAGTCATGTGAATCGACGGAAAAAGAAGTTTACGAGTGGTGTAAAAAAAGTAATAGGCCATATTATCACTGCAAAATTTAGATTATTCTCAATATATATCCCGCAAAGTGGAATGCTCTTTTTTCCTTTTTGGCTGAATTCTCTACCATAAACGAGTTTAAAGTTTAAAAGTCGCTTGAACTGCACTCCTAATGGCAGACCCTTTCGAACAAAACTAGCTAATGTGTACTAAAGAGTTCGCTTATCTTTTATTTAAGTTCAACCCCATGACAACACGTTTCCTCATATGAGGAAACACAAAGGATCTCTTGGTTTCAATTTTTTGATGGCTTATTTGGTTTTCGTTTGTGATGCTTACAAGCAGGAGGTAGGGAATCAACTAGTTTATAATGAAGTAACTTAAAAAATTTACTTTCAAAAAATGATTCAATTGATGCATAATTGCAGTCAGAGTCACAAAGGAATAAGTTGACTAATTGTTCGGACAGTATGTCCTCCTAATCACAGGGAGATAATTTTTGGTGGGGTGGGAGTGCGGTGGTCTCCTTCCAAAATAGAAAAAAAATAAGGATTGAGAAGGAAAAAATAAAAAAAAAGATAAAAATGAAAGAAAAATTTCTATTTATAAAAAAGGATCGCTGAATAAATGATAGACCGGGAGTATAATAAATTTTTCCATCAACAGGACACAATTGCTCTTGCTCTTCAATTACAAATAAGTTGTTTTCCTACATGCTACATGCAAGTTTTGTCTTTTTTTTTTAGAAATATTTCAATCGATTTATTTCTTCGCAACTAATTCGATTCGGGGCGGGTTCAAGATTAATGCTTTAAACTCCTCACAAAAGTGATACTGAGAAAATTCGAACACATGCTTTCACTCCTACCTGCTTAGCTCTCATTCGCCAAATGAACTACCACCATTTCATCATATATAATTCTCTTTTCGTATTGCCAAAATTAATTGGAAAGGATTCTTATAGCTTAATAGGTTATCTCAAGTTTGAGTTTTGAATATGTAATTATGTTAAAATTTTGATAGAGATAATTTTGTGGTCCCATGATACACTGGAATAATCGATAGAAAAAGAAAAACTCATAAATGAGGTAGTTGGAAACTTGACATCTTGTTGTTTATTGGGATCTAGGTGTTGAACAATTATTCAAGCATAGCTTCGAGTCTTTGACGGTTGTGAAGGGAATAAATATTGGGGTTCAAATTGTGTACAAGGTAATTTAATATTTGGTACTTGGCTCTGTTCAAGCCAGCATCTAAAAGACCACACCCTTTGTGGCAATTTCAATACTTTATCCCTTTACAACCTGTGCCCAACATTCCACAGAGGAATATCTCACTTTTACATGGCCTACTTATAATTATTGATATTTATAGAAAAATAATAATAAACAAACTGATTAAATTTCCTGATAAAAATAAATCAGGATGAGAATTTATGGGGCTGATTCTGAAATATCATTAGTACAGGCTCAGCCAATTCTTAATAAGTAAAACTCTATATCATTTACAAGTTATAAAATTAGAATGGGATTAAATCTTGCACAATTTGGTTTTATTTCACAAAACAAAAATAACCAGCTATCAATGTTTATTTACACAATTCTTCAGTGATCTTACTTGGGGAGGAAAATTATGAACTTCTAAGAGTCTGTTTAAATTAGGTTTTTAAAAATATTTTTTTTATTTTTTATAATAAAAAAATTAAAAAACTTATTTTATAATATTTATTTTGTAAAAATAATTCCAAAAATTATATTTACATTTTAGATTTTAGAATCAAACTTAGAGAATCCATCTCAATTGTTTTTTATTTTGTGTTTTAACTTTTAAAATTAAAAAAATTATAAGAAACACTTATTTCATTAACTACTCAGTTAATCTTTAAAATAAATTCAAGAATAAAAAAAACAAAATTCATTCAAAAGGGTAAAAAAAAAAATGTGAGGCAACCTGCAGGAATCAAATAACCAAGAAACATGAACAATAAATAATCATTCAATATACTGTAGAATTTA